ATTCGCGGCTATAAATTCGTCAATTTCGCCAGTTGGCAGCAAGAGCGGTTGTGGCGCAGCAAGTATAGCTGGGGGTGTAATTCGTACATTTTGTCGTGGTGGGTTCGCCCTCATGTGTTGGCGGCGGCCACTATAAATTGCCGCCTCACCCTTGCAGCGGTTCAAGTAGGCATCTCACATCATCGTCTGCATCGACCTGGGAAGGAGCTGGACACCTGATTTGAGACAACATGCACACTTCAAAGCGTGAAAATAAAGTTTACGCCATGCCACAGAACCGCTGCGATGGCATTTGATTAAATATCCGACTGAAGCCGTTGGATACAAAGACCGTCCTCGACTTTTTTTTTACTTATCCAAGAATTTTCGGAGTCCTGAAGGATACTGCTTGCACGACCTGCAACACCGGACATTTACGTGCTGAGCTTTGACATGTTGAAGACGCTTCGGCGTCCAGCATGTAACTCTGGTTATGGGAACATTCCTGGAAAGGGAGGGGGTATTTCGACTCGGTCTCTTCTGTATTTTGCATCAAATACTCGAAAATTCGCTAACAGATCGAACGCTTTGCGCTGTTCCCCCGGCTAATAGTGGCCTGCTAAACATGCAAACATAACGTGATTAAAACGCATTCTGGAGTCTTGGCCTCATTTTGGGCAGGATAAATTGATTCATAAGCTGGTGACAGTCAATCCAGGAGTTGCTAGGTTTTATAATCGGAGTAAAGTATGAAAAATAGATGAATGCTTCAAAAACTAAACAAAAAACGACGCCTAAGATGTCTTAATGATTCAAATAGCAATTTCTACCTGACAATACGGGCATCACAAAGCCTTAACTGCATAAGGTTACCACCTGCTAAATACACAGAAAAAGCCACTTGACATACTTTTAGATATGGTAACTAGTATCTAATGTCAGATCGGTGACGAGTTTGTCGAGGGTGTCCTCATGCGTCTGGCCATCAAAGAAGATGATCGGTCACGTTATAAAATGGCCGTGTATGCTGTTACATACTCATTCCATAAATAGTTCGGGTATGAGGACGAAATGTGGCTCACGTACCGTCCACATACGTCTGGAGCACATGGTAATTTATTTCGTCGCGGTAAAATACCAAATCAATATGAGCAAGACAGAGGTTTGCCACGGACAGGTCCTCATTAACAAATGAGGCACTTACAAGTGGGGGGGAAGGAAATTATCGGTTGCTAGCGACGACCTGCGCCTCCCACGGGGGGCCCTAATGATAAAGTAGGAACTTTCAACTTTCGGGAGATGTATGGATGTATGAGTTCATCATTTCCGTCTGTCAGTGTTGTCACCTCCGGCTGCCACCTTGTCTGTCATCCCCGTCACCGCTGCCCACTAGCCAACAAGCGAAGATCTTTGTGGGGGTAGAGTCGACGAAGACCTTGGACAAAGTATGCTAGTCGAATACTCTGAACCAAAACTGCGTTTGGATTCCTCACGACGCGGGTGCTAATGTAGCTTTCCATGTAGTGAATGACGAGGACTCCACAGTTATGCCCGTCTTCTTGGCGGATATTGTCGGCTTTCTTGATAGTGTAGTCTGCATACTTTCCTCTCAGGAGCGGTGCAACATACGACTTGCACGTCTTGGATAAAAATGAGTAGGTTGGTCGACGCTGCATGTGATCGAGCTGAATGATGTCTTTCGTGTTGATATCAACAATCAAGAGACACCAGTGCTTATTTTCAAT